ATATAGAGGAATGAGTGTATGAATTACTATGTAATGAGAGCACGGATACATTTCAGTCCTCAGGTTCTTACTGCCCTACATGGACCAGGAGGATTCTGTAAGGCCGTGTGGGGACAGGAAGCGACAGTTAGAGGAGGAGGCAGAGGAAGGGGCGGCCACTGAGTCAATCCATGGGCACGGTCCCACAGAAACTCCCTGTGTCCTGTCTACCCACCTCTTCAGGACCTCTGGGCAGGAAGGAGGAGGGGATGCCCAAGATAAGAATATGCACTTACCCCACCCCCCAAGAATGGAGGAGAGGCCATCTAAAGTTGGGGAGGGCTGAGGTGAAACAAAATCCAATTAGTCTTGGCCACCTCCCCAGCAAAGGGCTTGCAAAACTAGAATCCACCGTATGAAGGGAGGTTTGTTCAGAAAACCTTCTGCAGAGATCATAAAGCAGGACTCCAAACTCAAATACCCACAGGACCAGGCTAAGAATGCATGTGGTTAAAATAGCCGATTTGAGACAGTAAGGCACGGTGGGGACTGCGGCAAACCAGAGCAAGCACACGCCTCGGCTCCCATCTCTGCTTGCTAGCATGACCACACCTTCTGGGTTTCTAACATGACTTCGAAATCTGGATTTTATTAGAGATTTCCAAATTTGTAAATTTGGGAGATTGATTCCATTGGGGAGCAAGACAAGGAAAATGTGTCCTCGGCCCCCAGCTGGTGCTCTTTGGACAGGAGCATGCGAAGAATAGAAGACGAGAGAAAAACAGGGAGGACCCGGCTCGGAGGAAGAAACGTAAAATGCGAAGACAGAGAAATGAAACACAAGCATGGCCAAAGCCTCGAGGTGCAATGGGGAGATGCAGGAGAAGAGAGAGGCAGGAAAGAAAGATAAAGATCCTGAGGGTCTTGGGTGACCGTGACCCAAACGCAAGGTGAGAATGAGAACATGTCGGTGTTTCTCATGAGGATGACATAGTGAGCGCTTACTACATGCTGGGCGTGCATCTAAACATTCCATTTTCTACGTACTTATCTCTTTTCATCAGCAAAACAACTTTTGGAAGTCCTCTCATTAATCCTAATTTACAGAGGAGATCAACCGAGGCCCGGGGAGATGAAACAAATTGGCCGAGATCACCCAGCTAGTAATTGTCAGAACCAGAATCTTAAACCAAGGCTGTCTTGAGTCCATGGACTAAACCGCTATGTTCTCAAAGGGAAAAAAAAAAAAAAAAAAATCCGACCCTTTTTAAATTGAGCCATTTGTTATCTGTGGAGCATTCTGGAATGTGAGACAGTGCTAGGATACCTGTAATTTACTTTGAAATAAGCTCTTTTGGGTGAAATTAAAAATAGATTGACTAAAATATTTCAGAGAGATTTCCCACTCTTGACTGAACAGGGTAGAGGAATCCAGGCAATGGTCCATACTGCACCCTTGGGGTTAGCGCCAGAGCGTGACCTGGAAGTTGCTCTGTGCCCCGCCATCCCCAAAGGGGGCTCCTGGTGGCCTGAAGCCAGCGGGAGAGTTCACAGGACCCAGCCCTTGGAATCCTGGCGGTCTGCAAAGTGGCGATTGGGACGCCCAGAGCTGGAGCTCCACAGATCTCACGGTCCACTGGGTAGGAACTGCCGGGGCCTGCTTGCTCCCGCGTGTCTATCTAATAGAAGTCTGTGCAGGTGGCAGGATGGCTGTCATTATAACCCCACAGCAAGCTTTGGTGGCAGCGGTTAACCTTCAACCATGGCAGACTTCTTCAACCTCCGTCTATCCAAAGGGACCTTGGAGCTGTGCGGGAATCAGTTTGGCTCAGGTCAGGGCACAGCTGACATTCCCGTAATGAACAAAATGACTGCTCGGGACATTCCAGGATAAAGGCCAAGAGTCTGCACTGGCTCACCCAGAAAGGTGTAGGTAACCCTCCCCTTTGCAGCTAGGAACATTGAGGTGGCAGGGAGTATGTGAGCTCAGAGTGTCCCCAAATCAGGTCCCTCCCCCTAGCTGTTCCCACTTGGGTCCTGAGCAACAGGATATGCATCTCTTTAATCTTCTGGCCTTACGCTCTCTGCCTCACAGAGGGTAAGAAGTAGGTAATCCCACCAGAGGAACCAGACTGGTTGAACTGAGAGAGAATGGGGCACCCAGGCTGGGAGAGAACCTCTGATTGGGGTCCGAGGCAGTGGAGTGCTGATAAGACCCAGCCTCCAGCCAAGAACCAGCTGGAACCTGATAGCCTGACTGCCCCCAGTAATGGCAGCCTGAAATGAGCAGAATTATCCAGCCTCACTTCTCACCCAGCCTGATAACCTAGGTCCCTATCCACGGACACAGAAGATAAAAGTTTAGTAAACAGGACCACTAGCTGGAGGCAGACGTCATGTGCCCCCAGAGCTCAGAAGGTAGCCCTCACCAGGTACCAGGTACCAGGGCAGAACCTGCTTTAAATGCCTATTGAGCTAAAGCCATAGGAGGCAATCAGGAACGGATGGGATGGGGATGGGATGGGAAAGGCGGGTCCCCGCCCCCGGGCTACTCCCCTGCATCAACAAGGGCACCTTTGAGCCACATTGATCCAGAATAATCCACCCTGAGCCATCTGGCAAACCAGCTGCTGGGACAAAACTATTGGCCAGTGTCCCCCGGGCTGGCCTGCCTACAGAGGCCAAATGGGTTTCCTGGGGGACTCCTCTCTGTCTCCCGGGTGACTTTGTAGGGTATTGCGATGAGCCTGAGATGAACAGTGCCTGGCAGAACAGAGCCCCAGATGTGTCCCAGGACCCTTTGAGGAGAGTGCTGGGGACCTCTGGAGTCAGTCACTAGCCCTCACCCACCCCACCCCCAGCTGGTTCCTGGCCCAGAAAGCAGAGACAGGCGTGGGCCTGTGCCCACAGCTGTGTAGCTGTGTGCATTTGCGTGCAGGGTTCGTGTGCGCCCTGCAGCCCCTTGTGAGGGGGCTTGTGTGTGCATGGGGCACGCACGTGCATCGGGTGCAGTTTTTACGGAGTGAGTATGTGGTGTGATCAAGAATATGATACACATTCTCCTCAGAGGACAGCAAAAGGCAGTTAATTGGGTCTCTGTAAGGGTCTGGGACAAGGGGAGAATAAAGACCTGCCCAGGCCTTACCCCAAGCTCTGGGCGGAGGGCATCCACTGGAAGCCTTGACTTCCCACCTCCTCCCTCCCAGCTCCCGGCTCCAGCCCCCTCACTTCACAGGTCTGCTTTGAACCCCAGGAACTCATCCAAGGCAACAGAGCCCTTTTCTCTCTTCCCAAGAGGCTGCAGCAGCCAGCTGTGTCCCTAACAGCTGGTGGTGTTATCTGAGGGTGGGGGGAGCAGGCGGAGTGCCCAGCCCACTCTGGAATTCTGCCTTTCTCTGGCCACACAACCCTCCCTGCCTTCCACAATCACACACCCACAAGTCCTACGTTAGCAGCTTATCTGACCAAAAGCAAATGGCCAGACAATTAAAGCAGACCCCCCATCCGCAGCTCCTTCCTCCCTGGCCATTTGGTGCTACTGCAAACTCCTAGGCCATCCTCCAAACTCCTAAACCTCCCTGGGCTCTGGAGCCAGCACATGTGGGGGAAAACTGCTGGAGAACCAGGCAAAACGAGTTCCGGTTCCATCTGGGCCACTCATTCATTCCCTCGGCAAATATTTATTGAGCAGCTACTATGGGCCAGACTCTGTTGCAGGCACCGGACACACACTGAACTGTGCAAACAATTCAGATGTGTCCCTGATCTGCCCGTACGTTCTAAGAGTAAGAAAAAAAAAAGTAAACGGAGTAAACTCAGATAGTGATAAGCACTACGAAAAATGTAAAACTGGACAACGACCCAGAGGATCAATGGAAAGGGGACGTTTGCAGACGAGATGGCCTCCCCGAATCGGGGGAGGGGCCTCTTGGGTGTCGCCGGCCTTCTAGCTTTGCTGTGGCACCGTAGACAAGACTCCTCCCCCTCCCTGAGCCTCAGTTTCCCTCTCCGTACATGAGGACATTGAAACAGCCAGGGCAAGGCTAGCTTTCTACACTTCTGGGAATGGTAGCAGTGGCTCCCAGAAGTGACTAGAGAAATGGATTTCTGCTAGAAAGGCCAAAACAGGAAGGCAAACTCCTTTGTGGGGGGCAGGTCAGGGATGGGCAGGGTCAGGTCGGAACCTGTTCATCCTGCCACAGCACCAAGCCCCACCCGATGGGCCCTCTGTTAGATTGTGAGCTACGGGGTTCTGCGAGCCTTTCCTCACCGCCCCTCCCCCCTCCCTCACCCCCATACCCACCGTCACTCATCCCCTCTATGCACAGCACCCCAAGCATAACTGGCCTCTAATAAACGCACAGGGACCGTTTGGCTGCAGGCAGTAGGATGAGCATTTCTGTCACCTGGGAAGCAGTCAAGGCTTTTTTCTTTAGGACCTCCTGGAGAGGGGCCAGTCTCTCATGACTTAGAGTAGGAAAGGTTCCTAAAATTCACTGAGGCCCTTGATTCCCAACCTGAGGTCCCAGGCCCTAGAAGGTAGTCATGGAGGGAGAGGAGGTAGCATGGGCTGGCGTCCGCATGTCACAGAACCCCGCCACACACACACACACACACCCCCACACACACACACACATTCCCTACATTCAAGTGCCGGCTTGGGTTCTGAGCTTGGATTTTGAGCTTGGATTTCCACAGCTTGATGGGGTGACTCGTTACTCCATGCTGCTCAGAGTGCCTTTGATGAAGAAAAACTGAGCAGACGAGTTAATTACTATTTAATAAGTGGAGTGGGCTAGAGCAACAGCATCCTTCCAAAGTGACAGCTCATGAATCGGGCGGAGGACAGGAAAGACAGCAAAGTGGCCTTTGCGGGTGCAAAAGTTGCAGCCGCTCATCTATTTCATAAACGTGACTTTCCTGGAAAGCGAGCCCCAAGGAGAGAAAGGGAATTCATCCAGGTGTCCCCACCAGGTCAAGGCCCTGTCCCCCTGCACCACTCATCACTACAGATCAGTCCGGAAGGAGCCTTTCTTCTTGGAGCTCACTGGCCTTTGTTAAGCAGAGAGGAGGGGCTTGGGCAGGAGGCTGCCAGGACAGGAAGCAGAGCAGAGGCCGGAAGGAGGTCAGGAAGAAGCTGGACGGGTGGCTGGGCCCCGCTCACGCCCAGCCCTACCAGCCTTCAAGAGAGCAACGCGGCGTTTCCAAAAATATTTACAGTGAGTCTAAATTAACGAGGTACTGTATCAGCGCTAACAATGAGAGGATGTGGGTCCTCCAGGGGAGAGGACCAGCGCAATCAGGCCGAGGCTGCATCAGGGCGACTGGAGCCTGGGGAAGGCCAGCCAAGCGCCGCTGGAGGAGGAAGTGAAGCCCTGCACCTTGGGGACAGAGCAAGCGCTGGGGACACACTGCGGCATCCAGGAAGCCTGGCGCACACCCTGCCCTGCAGCAGGAACGCATCCTGGACCCTCACAACTGCAAAGAGCATCTTCCGCCTGCCTCCCCACCCCACTCCACTCCTCTGCTGGACCGCAGTCTAAAAATCAGCCGGGGGCCTCTTGAATAGCTCTGTGGACCCGACCCTCGCGCTTGCACCTGGCAGCGCATTCCCGTTCCAGCCAGGGGCATCACTGCTGGTTCCACGGTGTCACAGCCGGTAGAGCGGAGGGGTTCCGAGCATGCTGCCGCTCCCCAGTCACGTTGCCATGGCAAGGAGCCCCGCCATGTCAAGCCTCGGTTTTCCCCTCCGTAAAATGGGAGTCGTTGTAGTATCTACCTTTATGGGGTTGGTAGGAGGCGTCACCAAGAGCGTAGAGGTAAAGTTCCCAACATAGAGGGAATGACACACAGAAAAAGGTGCAGAGATGAAAAGATGGTTGCCAGAGGGGAGCCTGAGTAGGGGGATAGTAATTGAAAAAAACAATAACAAAAAAAAAGGGGAAAAAATAAAAAAAAAAAAAAAAAAAGCTTCAAGTGTCTTGAGGCTAAAATTCAGTTAGCCTGGAAAAATCAAGCACTGTTTTGTTGCCACCGAAGCGACACGGATGAGCTGGACCCGCACTGTCCAGGGCGTTAGCCACG